ACAGCATAACGCCGATTCCTTGTACGAGCAGTTGCGTATCGAAGAGTGATACCCAGCTAGCAACATACTTGGCCTATATGGGTTTTAGGCTGGGCAAATGGGGCACATAAAATAGAAGGCTGGTTCTAAGTGGGTCCCACCTAGTCAAAAATGGGCAACTTTGTTCTGACTGGGACCTCAGTGCGGGGACTGGATGGGTAAATATTGGGCAACAAAATTTGTGGTTTCCCCAAACTTGCCCATCTGAATCCCATGTGGGGCCCAGCTAGCATAAAATTGTCGGCACAAAATTATTATAATATATAAAATTAATTCAAAATTAATTTAATTGCATGTGTGTAGCTGATTCATGCATTTTTTAATGGCGAACTCATACATTTATGACGATTTAGCCCAGTCCATATGTGCCGCCATTGTTGTCTTCGACTGCATGTTCACTTTGAACCGCCAAATTTGCAAAGTTTCTCGCAATTTGTCCCACTTTTGCTAAATGATCAAGGTAAGTTCAAGTAAGTTCGCATTTATAAAAAAGAATCTAGATACATATAAACACATGTCTTAGCTATAATCCCCGTGTATTTTGAGTTTACTGAAGCACGAATAGTTTAATTAATTACTAAAAATATACGCACGGTATCGTCATAGGATAATATATACGCGCGACTATGGCCCGTAGAATAGTGTACTAACTCACGATAATATCTCGCGAACGATTTGAGTTACATTTTCTAAAATTCTAGACACATATAAACACATGTCTAGCTATGGTCTCTGTGAATTTTGAGTTTATTAAAGCACGAATAGTTTAATTAATTACCAAAAATGTACGCACGGTATTGCTCATAGGCTATACGCGCGGCTATGGCCCGTATGATAGTGTACTAACTCTAATATCTCGCTAAGGATTTGAGTTACATTTCTAAAATTCGAGATACCTATAAACACATGTCTTAGCTATAATCTCTGCGCTCTAACCCCATATGGTACCCAGGTTTGCCTAGTTTGCCCAGATCGATCCCAGGTTTGACCAGGTTTGCCCAGATCGATCCCAGGTTTACCCAGATCGATTCCAGGTTGGCCCGGGTTTGCCCAGACCGACCCCAACTGAAAATCCAGGTGCATTTCCCACATGGGAAACAAGTGGGCAGATATGGGCCCCATATAAACCTATTTGGAAACTATGTGGGTTGCCCAAGTGGAACCCATGATATGTGTTGCCCTGATATGTCCACATGCTCCCATATGGATCCCAAATATTTTGCTAGCTATAATACCGAAGACGAATCTCATGTCCCGAGTCTATATACACGATAGAGTGGAATTATACGGATAGTAAAGTCTAGCGAAGTGCATTCCATAGCATCAGGAGAGCATGAAGCTTTGTTTATGTATAAACGACGTAAGCAAATATGTAAAGTACATTTGTTGTGTCAGCCCAGATTGTGTTTTATACATTCGGATAGCTTGAGGTAGGCCTACGAAACGCGCGCTGAAGAAATGGAATGGAAATGCCGAAAGTAAATTCTGTACATACAGAGGGCAGCTGTCTTAGCTATTACATCCACTTTGCGAATTCCCGCTTGCAACAGATTTTCGCTGATAGTAACTGCAATGAGGAATACTTCATTAATAGATCCACCTTTTTAGCGTTGTCCATTATATAATCATTTCCGTAGCAATTTACGACGGTGCGTGTTGCCAACACGTTGACCGCTACGATTCGTGTTAAATGAACGAAAACATCGAAATTCTGAGATTCGATTAAGTTTGCGATTCGTCGTTTCATACTCAGCGTAAACTAATCCTGTAAAATAATAGCAAAAATTTCCCAGAAGAAAAACGACTTGTTTTTACAGTTTCGCGTGCACACTCATACATCCCACGAGTCCCTAGGGGTGGCCACACTGGACTTTCACGCGTGCTGTGGTTAGCACGTGTAATTTATTTGTGTCGGGATCATTTTCCACTCCTACCGTGAAGGTAGGACAGTGATGCAGTAGCAAGAAAAACCCCAGAGTGAAATAAACGCAAGTCCTTAGATAGTCTTTATACAACATATGGTTTTATTCATCGTATACGAATAACATTCACTGCACGTATCTCAAATATAGCGTATATATATTACTAGAAGTAGATAGCAGTAGAATTCCATATTATCTACTTCTGATATTACTCATGTCACGTTTACGTTACCTCGTTAGGTTATTACACGTTTAATTTAACTCTTAGCTATTGTACGGGTTAGTATTGTAGCCCCCGGCGCCGCTCCTCGTCTGTCTCTCCCCGTCGTGTGCCCCGCGGCTCGGCGCGAGTTCGTGGGTTGGCAGCGTTTCTCCGTGTCCGGGGTAGGCTATAGCCCCGGGCCCCTCCCTTAGTATAAGATATACCTTCTCGGGCGTCGTCCTACTCGTGGGTGGCTCTCCCTCCGACGGTGTGTCTGCGCTCTCTCGAGCGCGATCGTTCGCTCCCACGAGCGTGTTCGTTCGTTCGTTCGTTCGTTCGTTCGTTCGTTCGTTCGTTCGCTTTCTCAAGCGCGTTCGTTCGTTCGTTTCTTCGTTCGTTTTCTCAAGCGCGTTCGTTCGTTCGTGGCTGTCCGAAGACCGACTGACTTTATCGTTGGATCTTGGCTGCTTATATAGGACCCTGCGGTGACGTAGAATCCTGGCAGTGCCTCCCTCTCACGTGCCTCAGGCGCCTGGGTGTTGTTACCCCCTCGCTTGACACGTGTACGGGTGATGCAACCCCCTTGGTCTAGTTACTCTCTAGTATATGCACGAGCGTTGCACCCCCCTGTCCGCCACGTGCTCGGCGGGTGCAACTCCCTCGCCTCGTGCGTGTACATAGTGGCGCAGCTCCCTTACCTCCCATATCTGGTAGCTATGGGACCCCCTCCCCCGCGCTTGTCTGTGTCGTTGGGGAACACTTTCTACCTTTCGATAGGGGAACTTTCTATCTCTGCTGCTGTTGAACTGGTCTCTGGTTGCATGACGTCATCCTCCCTGAAATCTCCACAATATCAAGAGCTAATAATACCTATTATTAGCTCTTGTATATATATATATATACAGTAAATATACTCCGTCGCGATATGCCGACATTTAATCTAGGAAATCACTACCTACAGTGTATATGCAATAAGGGATTATGAAAAGTGATTTTTCTCCCCACGGCATCACGCCACGAACCACTAAATCACGATTCATCGCCAGCTCACGAATCGCGACGACGTCACCGATCTTTGTGAGGTCACGGATCGCGACGACGTCACCGATCTTTGTGAGGTCACGGATCGCGACGACGTCACCGATCTTTGTGAGGTCACGGATCGCGACGACGTCACCAATCTTTGTGAGGTCACGGATCTTCGTGGGTTAACAAATCTGCGCGAAGTCACGTTTCTCTGTGAGGTAACGTTTTGAGGGTGCGTGGAGTATATAGCGTATATATATATATATATATATATATATATATAGCGTTTGCGGTATATAGCGATTCGCGGGGTTCGAATCTCTGCACGCGGCGGGAGAGCGAACAATCAGCCTCACTAGCGTCTGATTAGACGCAGTGACCCGTACTTACTGCTTATTAATGAGAGTAAGTATAGCTGCGTTATCAGGCGCGTGACAGTCGCCCACTGCGCGCGGCCGGGGTCGCGTCGATACAGCCTCTCAACGTCATCGCTCGCTGTCGCCCATATAGCTTGTCGCAAGGGCGCCAGCAGCTACAGCTGTGCACCCTAATAGCTGTAACGACTGCGCTGAAAACCTTCCCATCATTCCCTCTCCTCCTGCTCCGCCTCACCATTCCCATCCCTCCCGCCTTCCCTCATCGCTCTATGGGTTTCAGTATCTCATGTTACCCCGCTAAGTACCATTCGACCGTAACTACACTGTACTGCGCTACATTCGGTAGCGGAGCGCTAACAACGCGCCGTGGCGACAATAATTTCACATCCCCTGCTATTTTTCCCGTCCGTCGCACTCGGCTGGCTGCGTCGGTGATCGGTGGCCCTACTACACACGCGCACACGCTGGCAAGCAGGCAGTGCGAGCACCCGCCCTGCGTTATGGCGGGTTACGTAAGCGCGCAGTGTGCGCATGGGCGTAGGTATAATTACCGATGTTAATTACCAGGCCAACGGAGCGCCATCACCGCCGCCGCCGCCGCTGCTGCTTCTGCTCCTGCCGGTATAAGGCGGGTGTGCGTGCGTGCGCGGCGTTCGTGCATGTAGGTGCGTATGAGTGACGCATTGTGCGACGCTGCTTCAGATGGCTAGCCGTCTAGGCAACGAGTTGTAGAGGCTCGCCGTGACTCGAGCAATGAGTTTAAGGTTAGCGTTTTACAGAGTTAGAGTGAAGGCGCGGCGAGGCGAGTCAGTGAGGGTATCGACATGCATTTGGCGTTCGTTAACCTTCGTTTCGCTTCTGAGTCGGTCGGCGACGTGTACCTACCTACCCGCTTCCCTGACTACTTCCCTGCTTACTTACTTGCTTTCCTGCCAGCTTGCTTGCTTGTTTGTTTGTGACGAGCGACAGTTTGGAGGTGATATGTGCAAATCGCCTTGCTAGCGTTGAAATCGAGAGGAACAGTCGTGGAAATGGCGTCTATCTCGCGTGGTATTTGCTGCCATTGATCGAGGAGAGAGTCTAATGTTACTCGCTGTTTTTAGCTATTGACGGAAAAACATTGCGCATGGTGCGTATGTGTGTATGTCTGTGCGTGTGTGTGCGCGGGAGTGTGTATGCGTGCTTTGTGCGTGCATGCGCGCGTGCGCGTGCTTGTGTGTGTTGGAACAACATACGGATAATTTCCCTCTTTGTTTCAAACACAGTGGCACGCGTGTGAGAGACAATGGGTTGGACGGGCGCGCCCGCCGACAGTAGGTTACGCCTGACGCAGCAGCAGCAGCGACGCCGTCGCCGCGAAACGACAACCGCTGAACCAGCAGCGCCGCCTGGCGGACAGTCGCGCACCAGACGCGCGGTGTAGGCAGCGTTTAGATGTCATTGTTCGTGCCCAACATGAACGCCGGCATGCGGTACTACGACGACACAGCAGCAGCGACGCGCCGCGACTCGTGCGGCCGCGTCTTCGTGTCGTCGGCCGACGGCTGCCCGAGCCGCGACGGCTCAGCCGACCCGATGCTCCCGGGCGGATATCTCGACCGGAAGTGGTCGTCGGCCGAGCACGTGCCGCCCGATCCGGTCAACATCGTGCAGAGTCGCGCCGTCAATCGTCGCGTCATCATCAACGTCGGCGGGGTGAAGCATGAGGTGCTGTGGCGCACGCTGGAGCGTCTGCCGCGCACGCGACTCGGTCGGCTGCGCGATTGCGCCAGCCACGAGCAGATCATGGAGCTGTGCGACGACTACTCGCTCGTCGACAACGAGTACTTCTTCGACAGACATCCGCGCAGCTTCGCATCCATACTCAACTTCTATCGCACCGGTAGGTATATATATATATATATGCATGTGCATGCCTGATGATTCGACATTCAAGGAGCTGTCGTGTTTTGTCTAATGTGTGATACAATTAAAGAAACGTTGCATCCCGTATTCAACGTCGTCGTTCACAGAACATACAGGACTTAGTAGCAGCTGCAGAAGATTATGAGTGAATAGACGGACCCTCGTTGCCGGTTTTCGTAATTGCGCATCTATTGTACGGATTAAACGAATACTCGTTATTACTTGCAGGCCCGAGCGTTTGTTTAATTGTTTAATTAATCCTTATATGAGGGTAATTTCGAACTATTTTGTGTGTTTATCGCTGGATATCGGCTTTCATTCACGGCTTACCGCAGCATTAACCCGACGACGAGTAAAATAAGATGAAATGTGGATGCCACAATGTAAATGTGTGCCCTGCGTGTTTCCGATTGCAGGAGGAACGGTTTTATCACGCACTGCATTTTCAAATCACTCGTTAATTTGCTAGAGTGCGTTCGTGTGTATCGCAGGCTATATATGTTTACGATAGCTAATTATTCCTTGTCACACAATATGGCAGATATTTAGAAAATGGTAACCGCCCGAATACGCTGAAAATCTCTGCACTGTGTGCATGTGGATTCGACGTTCTCTAGACATATTTATTTTCGTAACCACTTCGTTTCACACACGCGCATACACACACGCACGCACGCACACACACATCAGTATTTATAGATATATAGATTTATATAGATAGATATATAGATTTTCAGATTTATACATATATTATATATATATATATATATATATATATATATAATATATGTATAAATGTATATATACATATGCAGAAAGAATCGTGTATTTTGTGATAGCTCCTTGCGTGTCGAGCAACCCAACTGCTCCACTCGCCTTTCCTTCCATGCATGTCAGGCACTCTTTTCTTCCTGCATTACTTATCTTCATAACTTGACCGTATATGTGTCTGCGCGCAGGCACTCTCCATCTCGTCGAGGAGATGTGCGTGCTGTCGTTCTCTGACGATCTCGATTTCTGGGGCATCGACGAGATCTACCTGGAGGCGTGCTGTCAGCACAAGTACCACCAGCGCAAGGAACACGTTCACGAGGAGATGCGTAAGGAGGCGGAGAGCCTGCGCGAGCGCGAGGGAGAGGACTTCGGAGACGGATTCTGTGCCAAATACCGCAAACGTCTCTGGGACCTGCTAGAGAAGCCGACGACAAGCATGGCGGCTAGGGTGAGTGGTTGGAGGAGGAGGAGGAAGAGCAGGAGGAGAAGGATGATGATGAGGAGGAGGTAGAGAAGGAGGAGGAGGTAGAGAAGGAGGAGGAGGATAAGGAGGAGGAGGAGGAGGAGGAGGCGGACTGTGGGGTAGATGGTTGTGGGGAGGGGGTTAAGGGGGAATGAAAGGGTGGAGAAAGTAGGGAGTGGAGGAAGAGAGGGATGGTTGTTAGGTAGAAGGGTGGGTACGGGGAAATGGGAGATGTGGGTGGATGAAGAGGGAGCTATGGGAAAGAGCGCGGGTATGTGAGGGAAGGGTCGGTGTGAGAGACGAGGGCGGGCGAGCGTGTGGGTTGTTGTGGGGGGTGGGGGGGGCAACGGTGGTTGCGGGGAAGGAGGGCCGTTGTGGAGAAAAGTACTGGTTGCGGGGAGCGAGGTTGCGTTGATGATCAGTGATTATGTGTGGGGCAGGGTAGCTGCGGATGAGCGGTGATTGCGTAAGAGAAAGGCGAGCAAGCGGAGAAAGAAGTTAAGGGGGCGTCGGGGAAGTGAGCAGAACGAAACCATTGGAAAGCAAGAATAGCGAGGTCTATTTATACAATGTACGAAATAGATTTTGCAATGCAGCAGCGGAGGGTAGGCAAAGGAAGACAATTATTATATGGCACAAAGACAAAACAAACAGATATGTAATCATATGCTGGCAAACGCACTCGCATGCGAATGCGAAGGAAAGCGAGTACGTGGATTCGACACTCTATCTGCAATACAAACCGAACTGTAAACAGTACTAGACGCTATTCGGTCTCATATTTGCTTCCTGCAGAAGTGGTTTATACTTTCAAAATAGGGGAAAATACGAAACATAATAATACTGCAGTATTTTTCGCTGCCTCATGCAAGCTTTTGTGGCTTTTGTTATTGATCGCCCTCTCTCGCGCGTTCGCTGTCTTTCCCGTTCTCTTTCTTTCTTTCATTCTTTCTTCTGTCTCGTATGCTCTCTCTCTCTCTCACACACACTCTCTCTTCTCTCTCTCTCTCTCTCTCTCTCTCTCTCTCTCTCTCTTTCTCTCTCTCTTTCTCTAGTTCTCTCAAAATCTCTGACCCTTTCTTTTGTTTCATTTCTATTTTCTATCTATCTCTCGTTCCTCTACCTATCTATTTATCGAGCGCACTCTCGTTCTATATGACATTATCTCCGTCCTGCACGGGCACGTGCTATCTTCATTTTTCTGGCGCTGTGTCTTTGTCTCGCTCTCGTCCAATTTTTTATCTGTCTCTCTAGCTCTCTGTTTCTCGTAATGCCCTTTATATCAAGTATCGGAAATTGGTAAATCTTTTGGTACTACGATAACCCAGATATTTTGACCACACGCACACACACGCGCGCGCGCACGCACGCACGTCAATAGCACGCATTTCGGCTGCAGTGTGCCGATAGCCAACTCTCAATCAGTCGAATTGCACAGTTCGCATTAGCCTCACACATATATGCATCTATTCAGAAGAAAGGAAAAATTTAATTATAAGAGATTGGCAATGTTGTCTGTCGCATGGCGCCTTACAGGGGACCTTTCACTACATATTCTGTGCAAACAAATCCGTGATGCATTTCCTTCATGGACTACAACCTCAGGGGTTAATCAAGAGGAATAGCATGTAATGATGAACATAGCGTGAGTATGTGTGCGCTGTGCGCGTACGTGCGCGCGTACATGCGTGCGTGCGTGAGCACATGCGTGCGTGTGCCTTAGTATACGCGTGCGTGCGTGATTTATGTAAGAGTGACACAGTTTTTTAGTGTTGTACTTTTGACACTGATCCCTTTGTAGTCGATGCTAGGATTTAGGTTACACTGGTCATTTCAGTTTGTGTAAAATACGATTATAGGTTTCGTACAGCGCCCCTGCATGGCGGTTTAACAGGTATTGCGTTATACCACTCTTCGGGATTTGGCTTTAACTTCAAATATACATACCCAATTTAGTCAAAAAATAGCTCAAATGATTCGCATGCATCTATACTAATACTACAGCAGCAATTTATTTATCCGCCTTACTACTAGTTGAGTGCGTATCGAAAGTACATCACTACAACAGCCGAGTGCCAGTGTGGGAAATAACCATGTACAGTGCACGTTACAGTTCTGTGGCTCGCCCCTAGCCGGTATTACCCGTGTACATGTCCAGTCGACGCTAATCCAATGCCGTCACCTGCCATCGGCTACAAGTATCTCGCGTTTCACGACAGTCGACACGAAATCACGTGACAGGAACGGTGATGTGCAATCAATATCAATTTGCCGTGAACGCATGGACGTGTAACCACGTGCAGGGTTACCCTGAACCATCTCCATCTGCGCGCGCGTGCTCTCTCTCTCTCTCTCTCTCTCTCTGGGGGGAGGTGGTAGTATAGATCAGGTTTTGTATCTTGTTAGTGCGTGCGCCTGCGGTGGTATTATAGCGTGCTTGATGTTTTACAATCTTGATGCTAGATGGAGATGTTTTTCGCATGTAAGCCTGAACACCTGTTTAGATATTTTACGATGCCGTTGGATGCTGCGTAGTTACTGATGGTGCAAAACTATCGTACGTAGACGTGGCTGCCATCAGCCACCGTACGTGGGCGTGGCTATCATCAGCCACCGTACGTGGGCGTGGCTATCATGAGCCACCGTACGTGGGCGTGGCTATCATCAGCTACCGTACGTGGGCGTGGCTATCATCAGCCACCGTAC